TGGCATTTAAAGGGTTAGGGTTATTGACAGGAAATGCAATGGCATTTAAAGGGTTAGGGTTAGGGTTATGACAGGAAATACAATGGCATTTAAAGGGTTAGGGTTAGGGTTATTGACAGGAAATGCAATGGCATTTAAAGGGTTAGGGTTAGGGTTATTGACAGGAAATACAATGGCATTTAAAGGGTTAGGGTTAGGGTTATTGACAGGAAATGCAATGGCATTTAAAGGGTTAGGGTTAGGGTTATTGACAGGAAATACAATGGCATTTAAAGGGTTAGGGTTAGGGTTATTGACAGGAAATGCAATGGCATTTAAAGGGTTAGGGTTAGGGTTATTGACAGGAAATACAATGGCATTTAAAGGGTTAGGGTTAGGGTTAGGGTTATTGACAGGAAATACAATGACATTTAAAGGGTTAATGTCCATGAATTGAATACTTACAAGTGAAGAATAAAGCCAACATAGCGACCACTTTGTGAAAAGTGATGGCCGAATCAAAGGGAATATAACGATTCAATACTGTGTCCCGTAAAAATGTAATAGTATTTCGACACATGGTTACCAGTAAGGTGGAGTACGTAAACATCTGAGCACTAGCAGCACCACGTGTAACGGTCACACCATATCCGGCAATGCGACGTAAACCAGCATGCTCACGTTCAACAGAGTAATCTGCAAAATTATGACAATTATGAAAGTAACCTAGTCAGCGCATGTTAAAGGTATGAATCTTTGGCATATATATTTAACGCAAGTAAGCAAACATATATATACTTACAGTATGCCCTTTCAATGAATATCCCCAATAAAACGAGTAAATACAATGTCATCCAGAATATGTGCATTCGATAGTTTTCAATATAACGTTTGAAAGCATTGAATTTCTTTATCGCAGGGTTGGTAGATATTTCTTTCTTCTTCGTCTCAATACGGATAGATTTGTTAGATTTTCTTTGTTTCTGAGCCCTTTCTTCTTCTCCAGGACGGCTGCATTAAAGCAAATCAACAGAATTCAGCTGTCTGTAAAAACCTATACAAAGTTTTTTTAATACATTCAAATGTAAGACAATGTTCGGTAGATGTGACTGCATTCAAACAGATCTGTTTCAACAGTGAACACAAAAAAGGGATTTAATCATACTAAGATTTAAAGTAACAAAAAAAACAAACCTATATGCACGAATAATAGTCTTCCTAGCTCTCTGTGGAGCATTCTCTCGTTTGATGACAGTTTTGCCACGTCCAATTTGTTGCTGTTGTTGTTGTTGAGCTTCAGCAACTGCAAGATTGGCTGCAGGGCCTAAAGTTTGCAAATAAAATAAAATAAAAGAATTGGTGTCATATGTTCTAAAAATCCAATTTGAAAAAGTAGACGCTGATGAAATTGACAGGCATTTAAAGAACTAAGGCAAATAAGTGAATGGTTATGTTATTTCTCATGTCCTTGCATATTCACAGAAAGCATATAACAAGTTATTTTTATAAATACATCACTGTATGTTAATAAGTTACAGTGTGACATATATTTGCGGTATTGCACAGATATCTACTTTTTACTAGATTAGAAAATATACATTCCAAATGTAGAACGATCACATGGTTCATTTTAGGATGTTTTTAAAAATGAATAGCAAGAAAGTTCCAATAATTTGCTTACTACATCAAGTAGTAGAAAATGTATAATAATATTATTTTGAGGATATCGTTCAAACTTTCTAATGAATATTGATAGTAATGAATACTTGGTTTGGTGAGAGCACAATTAATAATGTTTGAATAGTTTTTACCTGCAAAGTTGAGACTGGCTACTGCCAATTCATCCTTATGCCCTGAGGATGTCATAATACGATCAAAGTCATCAAAAGTCAAATCTTGCTTGTTTTGGAAACCGACTTCAGCAAACATACTGTCAACAAGTTCATCAAGTTTCTCCATCTCTACAGAGGCACTTACAATATCAAGGAATGACCTGCAATGAGGGAAAGAAATGATGCTTAACTTCTTAAACACCACAGTCAACTTTTTTCACCTTATTATTTTTTTATATTCATTCTAAAAAATCGTCCTGTAGCCAATGGGAAATTTTGAACATTTGTACGAAATACATAAAATTTGTGTTGTCTAAAGCAGTATGGTAAAAGTATATATGTCATTGGTATTTACTAAAGATTTTGATATAAGATATGATAAGCGGAAATATGTTATTGATCTGAGGAAAAGATAAATGTGTATGTGAATCAGGCAATCAGACAGCTATTGAAATCTGACCAATATTCTACACCAGTATAACATATCAAGCAAAGTCATTGCAAAACAATGGTTATAGATGTGACCGAAGTAGCTAACAATTGGCCAATAATGGCCGAAAAAAACAGATTACAAAATACTGAAAAAAAAGATACACGTTGAATTAAATCTCCTGTATCATATCATATGTTTTAGTTCTGTATGTTTTGTTGTCCTGAAAGTTGTTTTTTTGGTCGTTATTATTATTGGACAATACTCAAGGTTTCTTTGGTATGTTCCAAATAAAATCATCTATCTATCATTTACAATGAAAAGAAGAACAGTGCCTGATCTTTGGTAATTGACCAATAAGTTTACCTACTTGATCATCTTTTTGAATTCCTCTCGTGTCATTCTTCCACTACCATCTAAATCATACATATCAAAGAAGAGTTTGAGTCTGTCTTCAGGAGACCCTACAAGTAAAAAAATATACAATTTAATTGTGCTGAAAACCAGAGAATTAACAAGTACATTACTGGAACCATCTTGCTGTACCAGAAGCACATCTCCGATATATAAACATATAAACATCTCGCATATAAACAAAAAATGACATTTGCTGAATTATTAAAATATTACTTATTTTGATGTCTATGATTAGCGTAAGCAGAAGAGTTATTATAAGAGCAAATGTGGTAATATTAATAATTGGGTAACAATTACAATATATGACATTTCACTATAGCAGTTATAGAGCTAATAAGTAAGATTCTATTTTTTTTACAATTTAGAACCAAACCTGTTTCAGTATGCAATGAAAATTATATTGGCAATATTTAAGTATGAGCAAGTATAACATCACATAGATTAAAATAAATAAGTGTATATTTCTAGCCCTACCTTTGGAGAAAATCACCAACATGTCTAAGAACTCTCGGAAGTTCACATAACCATTTTGATCTTTGTCGATTAAATCAAACATCTTTTCCACGAATAGTGAGTTTGATTTTAATGACATCGCCTCAGCAAATTCAGCTTTTGTCAATTCACAGGTTAAGACTTCCTTAGCTTCATCACTGTTTAATTTCTCCTTACTCACAGCAATATTGAATGCCTACAATTAACAAGTCATTGTTCATCACTGTTTAATTTCTCTTTACCCACAGCAAGATTAAATGCCTACAATTAACAAGTCATTGTTCATTACTGTTTAATTTCTCTTTACCCACAGCAAGATTAAATGCCTACAATTAATTAACAAGTCATTGTTCATCACTGTTTAATTTCTCCTTACCCACAGCAATATTGAATGCCTACAATTAACAAGTCATTGTTCATT